TCTCCTACTCCTCTGCCATCTTGCTCCACCCCCTGACCTTGTCATTCTTAACCTTAAAACCTTTCAGTGGCTGCTCCACATCTTGTACAGAGTAAAGTACTCCTTGGCAAGGCATGAAAGATCCTTCAGGTTTTTTGGGTTTTTTTTTTTAAGATTAAAAAAAAATTTTTTAGGTAATCTCTCCACCTAACATGGGGCTCAGACTCAATGACCCTGGGATCAAGAGTCTGGTAGACCAACTAAGCCAGCCAGGCACCCCCAAAGATCCTTCAGTGTAGCTGCTTGTTTATCTTGAGCTTTGTGTCCTGCTAGCATTCCAGGAGTTATCTTAGCTCCCTGGCCACACCTTGCTACATTACACTGCTGAGCCCTTGTTTATTGTGTTCCCTATGCCTGAAATTCCTTATTTTAACCTGGGGAAATCCCTTTGAAAGCCAAGTTTCACAGTGTTTATGGTGATGTCTTTCCCCTATTCCTTCAAAGTTTATTATTCCCTTCCGTGCTACTGTGTAACCTTGTGCGTAATTCTATTACTGAACTTTTCATGAAATAATGTAATTATTTAAATATGGGTTTGAATCTAATAAGTTGGAGGTACTTTGAGGGCATTGTTTATGTGTTGCTTCTTAATAATTGTGTCTTAAGTATTGAATAAATAAATGAATTACCATACGAAGCCATATTAATAAGAAATTAGAATATATTCTTCTAATGACTATAATAAATAAGCAGCAAAATTCATAAGTACTGGTGGTCATTCTGAGGAGCTGCGTGCAGCATGGACTTCCCTTCTAGGTCAGGGCCTGCTAGTGCTCTGGAGAAGCCTGGAGAACAGGCAGAGCTGTGAGGGGGACTTACTCACTGAGGGGGCTAAGGGATCTATTTCTGCTAGCTTTGGCTGGAGAAGAGCTAGCTCTGGCCTTGTCAGGATGGAGAATTCAGAGCCCTCCCAGGGCTGTTGTCATCTGTTGAGCCCTTACTTGTTTGTCTGGTGCCTTGCGGTATTGTTCTATGAGGGAGATTTAGTATCTCCTTTGACAGAGGAGAAACAAACTCAGGGCCTAAACGGGTTTCTCCAGCTCACCACACGAACATGACCTTGTTCGGTTGGTTGGTTTTGTTTGGGTTTTGTTGGTTTGAAGACCGTTGGGGACCCATGTGGGTCCTGGTCCTCTGCTACCTTCATTCACACTCTCCCTGGCTGACCTGGCTCACGACATGGTTGCTCCTTCCACCTTTCCCTCTCCTCTGGGCTCCAGACTGCCACCTGACGGCTGCACTCACACGTCCCGAAGGCATCTCACCGCTGGCCTGTTGGAGTGGGGACTCCCGGTTCTCTTGCCCACCCCCACCCCCATACTGCACCCCTTCGCCTCTGCCAGGCTTGCCCTGCATAGAAAACAGCACATCATCTGCCCAGTTAGTTGTTTGAGGCAGAGACCCAGGAGGCGTTCTAGATTCCTCCCTTAGCTGGCCCCTCACCTTCACCCATCAGCAACTCCTATCACATCTAGTTCCGAAACACCTCCCCCTTACGTGTCCCATCTCCATTCTGCGCCTCCCAGACCGTCCCCTGCAGGCACCACTGCACTAGCCTGTGGGCTGATGTTCCTCCTTCTCTTCTTGGTTTCTTCACTCAGCAGGTGGTTGTTGGGTGCGCATGTACTCTTTACAGGTATACCTCATTTTACTGCACTTACTTTACTGCGCTTTGCAGATAATGTGTTTTTACAAATTGAATGTTTATGGCAACCCGACTTTGAGAAAGTCTATTGGTGCCATTTTTCCAAAAACATTTGCTCACTTCCTGTCTCTGTGTCATGTTTTAGTGATTCTCGTAATATTTCAAAATTTTCATTATGATCATACTTTTTTTTTTTTTAAGATTTTATTTGTCAGAGAGAGAGAGAGAGAGCACAAGCAGGGGAGGGGCAGAGGGAGAGGGAGAAGCAGGCTTCCCGCTGAGCAAGGAGCCCAATGGGGGACTCCATCCCAGGACCCTGGGATCATGACCTGAGCGGAAGGCAGATGCTTAACCAGCTGAGTCACCCAGGTGTCCCATTGTGATTATACTTGTTATGGTGATCTGTGACATTGCTCTCACAATTGTTCTGGGGCACCAGGCACTGCACCCATGAAGATGGTGAACTTAATAGGTAAATGTTTTGTGTGTTCTGACTGTTCCACAGACCAGCCATTCCCCCACCTCTCTCCCTCTCTTCAGGCCTCTCCCTATTCCCTTGAGGTACAACAACATTGAAATTAGGCCAGTTAATAGCCCTACAATGACCTCTTAAACGTTCAAGTGAAAGGAAGAGTCACATGCCTCTCTAAATCACAAGCTAGAAATGAATAAGCTTAGTGAGGAGAGCATGTTGAAAGCCAAGATACACTGAAAGCTAGGCCTCTTACACCAAACAGTTAGCCAAGTCGTGAATGTAAAGGAAAAGTTCTTGAAGGAAATTAAAAGTACTACTCCAGTGAACACACAATGATAAGAAAGCGAAACAGTCTTACTGCTGATGTGGAGGAAGTTTGAGAGGTTTGGATAAAAGATCAAACCAGCTACAACATTCCCTTAAACCAAAGCCTAATCCAGAGCAAGACCCTAACACTCTTCGATTACATGAAGGCTGGGAGGCGTGAGGAAGCTGCAGAAGAAAAGTTGAAGCTAGCAGAGGTTGGTTCATGAGGTTTAAGGAAAGAAGCCATGTTTATGAGGTTTGAGTGCAAGGTGAAACAGCAAGTGCTGATGTAGAATCTGCAGCAAGTTATCCAGAAGACCTGGTGAAGATAATTAATAAGGTGGCTACACTAAACAACAGATTTTCAACGTACATGAAACAGCCTTCTTATTGGAAAAAGGTGCCTTCTAGGACTTTCACAGCTAGAGAAGTCAATGCCTGGCTTCAAAGCTTCAAAAGGACAGGCTGACTCTCTTGTTAGGGGCTATGCTGCTGGCGATTCAGTTGAAGCCAATGTCATTTACCATTTTGAAAATCTTAGGCCCCTTAAAAGTTGTGCTAAATCCACTCTGCCTGTGCTCTATAAATGGAGCAAGAAAGCCTGAATGGCAGCACATCTGTTTACAACATGATTTCATGAATATTTTAAGCCCACTGTTGAGATCTGCTCAGAAAAAGAGCCCTTTCAAGATGTTACTCCTCATTGACAATGCACCTGGTCACCCAAGAGTTCTGATAGAGATGTACAGTGAAATTAACATTGTTTTTGTGCTTGCTGACACAACATCCATTCTGTAGCCCATATGGATCAAGGAGTCATTTCAACTTTTTAGTCTTACTATTTAAGAAATACATTTTGTAAGGCCATAGCTGCTGTAGGTAGTGATTCCTCTGCTGAATCTGGGCAAAGTCAATTGAAAACCTTCCAGGAAGGATTCACCATTCTAGATGCCATTAAGAACACTCGTGATTCATGGGAAGAGGTCAAAATATCAGTATTAACAGGAGTTTGGAAGAAGGTGATTCCAACCCTAATAAATGACTGTGAGGGTTCAAGACTTGAGTGGAGGGAGTAACTGCAGATGTGGTGAAAATAGCAAGAGAACTTGAATGAGAGGTGGAGTCTGAAGATGTGACTGAATTGCTGCAATCTCATGATAAAATGTGAACAGATGAGCAGTTCTCATGGAAGAGCAATGAAAGTGGTTTCTTGAGAAGGAATCTACTCCTGTTGAAGATTTTGTGAAGATGGTTGAAATGACAACAAAGGATTTAGAAATTACATAAACTTGGTTGATAAAGCAGTGGTAGGTTTGAGAGGATTGATTGTAATTTTGAAAGAGGTTTTACTATGGGTAAAATGCTATCAAACAGCATCACATGCTACAGAGAAATCATTCGTGAAAGGAAGAGTCAATCAGTGCAGGAAACGCCCGTTGTTATCTTATTTTAAGAAATTGCCACATCCGCCCCAGCCTTTAGCAACCACCACCCTGATGAGTCAGCAGCCATCAACACTGAGGCAAGACCCTCCACCAGCACAAAGATTGTGACTCACTGAAAGCTCAGATGATGGTTACATTTCTAAGCAATAAAGTACTTTTTAATTAAGGTATGTACATTGTTTTTTTTTAGACATGATACTGTTGTACACTTAATAGACTGTGGTGTAGTGTAAACATATATGCACTGAGAAACCAAAAGATTCATTTGACTTGCTTTAGTTCGGTACTTGCTTTATTGTGGTGGTCTGGGACCAAATTGCAATTATCTTTGAGGTATGCTTATACCATTATCAGCTCCATTGTGTTAATTAGATGTCTTCCTGGTTTATTTAAGTCTGCAATTTAATATATTTTTGAGGTCTTTTGCTTTTCAAAAACAAAATGATTTATAATCTAATTGAAATAACTGTAAACAAATTAGAGTCTTCATGCTTTCCTTTCCATCAACAGAATCCAACGTGGCGGAGTCTTGATTTTGGAATAATGCCAGACCGTCTTGATACATCTGTGTCTTGTTTTGTGGTGAAGATATGGGGTGGAAAGGAGGACATCTACCAGCTTTTGATTGAATGGAAAGTCTGTTTGGATGGGCTGAAATACTTGGGTCAGCAGGTAACTTTTAGACTGTAGTTTTGAGTATTTGTCTTCTCTAAACCTACCTAACCTTTCTGTATATTCTTTAGATTCTACATTTCCTATTATAGAGAACCTTTATGATTGTTTACTTAATTATAGAAATTTTGAGTCATTGCCAAGTTTAAAAATAATTTTTAACTGAAGAAACTTATGAAGAAGCACCCTAAGCTGTTAATTTAAGAGGAATTTTTTTTTTTTTTGTAGGAAAGAATATGCTTTCCCATAGCATTCTACTTCTTCTGTTTTATTGCACTTGATCTTAGCCAAAAGACCAAGAAGCGATCTTCTGTTTTATTGGATCTAAAAATTAAGTTGCAAATATGGAACATACTCTTAAATACTTCTCTTATGACCAGTAGAGTTGCATTATTTCGGGAAGAAGGAGAACTACTGTTTATTTATTTATTTATTATTATTATTATTATTATTTTTAAAGATTTTATTTATTTATTTGAGACAGAGAGAATGAGAGACAGAGAGCATGAGAGGGAGGAGGGTCAGAGGGAGAAGCAGACTCCCTGCCGAGCAGGGAGCCCGATGCGGGACTCGATCCCGGGACTCCAGGATCATGACCTGAGCCGAAGGCAGTCGCTTAACCAACTGAGCCACCCAGGCGCCCCTATTTATTATTTTTATTATTATTTTTTTTGGAGAGCTACTACTGTTTATTGAGCACAGGGCTGACAAGTGCCTGGCTTGCATACTACTACCAAGTCCCTGTGAGTGAGGTAGCTATTGGATCATAGCACTCTTCTAGCTGAGCTGAGAAGTAGCTCCATAATCCCTTTGGACACAGTGTTCTGGGATGCAACTAGCAATATATCAGAATTGCTGATGATATGAAACCTATTTACCATCCCCAGACATAGGTTATTATACTTAATATTTATAGCAGCCTTGTGAAGGTTGGTATTAGTGCCCTTATTTTCCAGATGGGAAAATTGAACCACAGAGAGTTTAATTACTCAAGATCACACTGCTAGGTAGAGCTAAGATTTAAATCCAGGCCTGGCTGACTTACAGATTCATTCTTTGTGCTGTACCACACTGATACATACATGTAGTCCTTGGTAACCTACCTTGGAATAAATGCTGTGTCTTTTTGTGATACCTGTGGGATACTGTTAAAGGTAACTCCAAAATGTTAGTCATGTCTATGAATATCCTTGATGTTTCTTAATATTTATTCAATATAGACTTTCTGGTATATTTCTTTTATTTATTTGTTTATTTATTTATATTATTTTTTTTAGAGACAGAGCGTGTGCACATGAACGGGGGTTGGGGTTGAAGGGGCAGAGGGGGAGAGGGAGAGAGAGAAAGAGAGAGAGAGAGAATCTTAAGTAGGCTCCATACCCAGTGCAGAGCCTGACATAGGGCTCGATCTTATGACCCTGAGAAAATGACCTGAGCTGAAATCAGAAGTCGGATGCTTAACCAACTGAGCCACCCAGGCGCCCCTGCTTTATTTCTTTTAAAGAAACAATTTAGTTCTACATATTTTTTTTCAGATTAAAAAAACCCCTCTGCCCTCATTTTGCTTACCATATACTTTATTTTGTGTCTTCCTATAGTAGATCAGAACAGTGCATGTAATAGATATTTTCCACAACTGAATTCTAACTGCTATAGATTCTTAAGCTTTTTTTGTTTTTTATATTTTTCCTTCTGTTTTATGACTGATCTCAGCGAAAATTTTTAAAATAATGACTTTTGGCTTAGGGCCTTTCTCCTCTCTTTCAGTATGAGATACTTGTTGCCTTTTGGCTGGCCAGCCAGAGCCCTGCACTGAGGTGCATACTTTTTCTGTCTTCCCACATACTGTAGTTGACTCTCTGTGTATAGACTATGGTATTGAGCACTTATCTTCTGGAAGTACTTACATTTCATGGAGGATGATGCTTCTTAACATTAGAGTTGTATACCTATAGTTTGGTAGGGGAGTTTTTGGCCAAAGAAGATGGACTTCATGCTTTTCAACTCACATATTCCTTAGGTAGTGATCTTCTTAAAATACCCAACTGTGTTTATGTCGAACCTGCTCTAATTTCAGAGTCAGCTTTTGGGTGTCTTCTTACAAAGCTGGTTATGTGGGTATAACGGAGAACAAGAGCAAGAGAAAAGATGTTTTTTAAGCCAGTTAGAATCTTATCATTGTAGAAAGTCAAAACTCTCCTACAAAGTAGATATAACAAGTAACATACTACTAGAAAATCAGATAAAATAAAATTACAAATTTTCAGAGGAAAGCAAGACTAAGATGTATCAGGAGAATAGCCAGAATTACTTAGGTTCATTGACTGATCATCTGCTTTCTACCAGGTATTACTCTTACTGTTAAGGTTCCAGAGACTGATAAGACAAGATCCTTAGACTTGGTAAACTGATGATTGGTGAATACCTGCATAGACCTGCATGGTACCATACTGTTTTGATTGTTATAGCTTTGTAATATAATTTGGAGGAGTATATGGAAGAGGTATTTAGACAAGTTGGGATAGAGTCAAGGAGGGCTGACTTTTGAATGAAATTTTTTTTACAGGTCAGGTTTGTTGGGGTATAATATATATACAATGAAATTCACCCTTTTAAGGTATGCAGTTCAGTGGGTTTGACAAATGTATAGTCTAGTAACCACCACAATGAATAATGCTGCTGTGAATATTTAAATATAGGTCTTTATGTTGATGTATGTTGTCATTTCTCTTGAGTAAATACATAGGAATGGAATTTCTGGGTCTAGTGGTAAGTGTATGTGTTGAAATTTATAAGAAGCTGCCAAGTTGTTTTCCATTCTAGTGGATTTTAGCCATTATGATGGATTTGAAATGGTATCTTGTGATTTTTTTTTTTTAAGTTTTAATTTTAATTATCCGGTGTTCATCACAAGTGCCCTCCTTAATCCCTATCACCTATTTCATCTGTCCCCCACCTACCTCCCCTTTGGTAACCACCAATTTTTTCTCTCTAGCTAAGAGTCTGTTTCTTGGTTTGTCTCTCTTTTTCCCCCCTTTGCTTGTTTGTTGCATTTCTTAAATTCTACATGTGAGTGAAATCATATGGTATTTATCTTTTTCTGGTTGATTTATTTCACTTAGCATTATACTCTCAAGCTCCCTCCATATCATTGCAAATTGCAAGATTTCATTCTTTTTTATGGTTGAGTAATATTCCTTGTGTGTGTGTGTGTGTGTGTGTGTGTGTGTATACACACCACATCTTCTTTATCCATTCATCAATCGATGGACACTTCGGCTGCTTCCATATCTTGACTATTGTAAATAAAGCTACTCTAAACATAGGGATGCATGTATCCCTTTGAATTAGTGTTTTTGTATTATTTGGGTAAATACTTACTAATGCAGGGGCGCCTGGGTGGCTCATCGTTGGGCGTCTGCCTTTGGCTCAGGTCATGATCCTGGGGCCCTAGGATTGAGCCCCGCATCGGGCTCCCTGCTCTGCGGGAAGCCTGCTTCTCCCTCTCCCACTCCCCCTGCTTGTGTTCTCTCTCTCGCTGTGTCTCTCTCTGTCAAATAAATAAAATCTTTAAAAAAAAAAATGCAATTGCTGGATCGTAGGGTAGTTCTGTTTTTAACTTTTTGAGGTAACTCCATACTGTTTTCCACAGTGGCTGCACCAGTTTGCATTCCGCCAACAGGGTTGGCAGAATGCAGAAGGGTTCCTTTCTCTCCACATCCTTGCCAACACCTGTTGTTTCTTGTGTTCTTGATTTTATCCATTCTGACAGTTGTGATATCTCATTGTAGTTTTGATTTACGTTTCCCTGATGATAAGTGATGATGAGCAGCTTTTCATGTGTCTGTTGGCCATCTGTATGTCTTCTTTGGAGAAAAGTCTGTTCATGTCTTTTGCCCATTTTTTTAATTGGATTATTTGCTTTTTGGGTGTTGAGTTTTATAAATTCTTTATATATTTCGGATACTAACCCTTTATTTGATGTGTCATTTGCACATATCTTCTCCTATTCAGTAGGTTGCCTTTTAGTTTTGTTGTTTCCTTGGCTGTGCAGAAGTTTTTTATTTTGATATAGTCCCAATAGTTTATTTTTGCTTTTGCTTCCCTTGTCACAGGGGACCTAGCTAAAAAAAAGTTGGTGTCGCCAAAGTCAGAGAAATTACTGCCTGTGCTCTTTTCTAGGATTTTTTTTTTTTTTAAGATTTTTATTTATTTATTTGAGAGAGAGAGAATGAGAGACAGAGAGCATGAGAAGGAGGAAGGTCAGAGGGAGAAGCAGACTCCCCGCCGAGCAGGGAGCCCGATGCGGGACTCGATCCCGGGACTCCAGGATCATGACCTGAGCCGAAGGCAGTCGCTTAACCAACTGAGCCACCCAGGCGCCCTTTTCTAGGATTTTTATGGTTTCAGGCCTCACATTTAGGTCTTTAATCCATTTTGAATTTATTTTTGTGTATTGTGTAAGAAAGTGGTCCAGTTTCATTCTTTTGCCCGCGGCTGTCTAGTTTTCCCAACACCATTTGTTGAAGAGACTGTCTTTTTCCCACTGGATATTCTTTCCTGCTTTGTCGAAGATTGATTGACCATATAATTGTGGGTTTATTTCTAGATACTCTATTCTGTTCTATTGATCTATGTGTTTTTGTGCCAATACCATACTGTTTTGATTATTGCAGCTTTGTAATATAACTTGAAATCTGGCATTGTGATGCCTCCAGATTTGCTTTTCTTTTTCAAGATTGCTTTAGAGATTCAGGGTCTTTTGTGGTTCCATACAAATTTTAGGATTGTTTGTTCTATTTCTATGGAAAATGCTATTGGTATTTTGACAGGGATTGCATTAAATATGTAGATTGCTTTGAGTAGTATAGACAATTTTAACAATACTTGTTCTTCCAATCCATGAGCATGGAATTTGGAATGTCTTTCCATTTCTTTGTGTTGTCTTCAATTTCTTTCATCAGTGTTTTATAGTTTTCAGAGTACAGGTCTTTCACCTCTTTGGTTAGATTTATTCCTAGGTATCTTATTATTTTGGGTGTAATTGTGAATGGGATTGTTTTTTTTCTATTTATTTTTTAAAAAAGATTTTATTTATTTATTTGATAGAGAGAGAGAGAGAGGAAGAGAACAAGCGGGGGGAGTGGCAGAGGAAGAGGGACAAGCAGACTGCCGATGCTGGGCTCGATCCCAGGACCCCAGGATCATGACCTGAGCCAAAGGCAGATGCTTAATCAACTGAGCCACCCAAGTGCCCCTGGGATTGTTTTCTTAATTTCTCTTTCTGCTGCTTCATTATGGGTATATAGAATCTTATGATTTTATTTGAATTTATCTAGTGATGAAGTCATGTTAAACAATAAAAAATGTTTATTTGTCATCATTCTCTCTCTTGCCCCTTTTTGGGTGAAATGTTTATTCAGATCTTTTGACCAATTTTTATTTGGCTGTTTGAATTCTCATTATTGACTTGTAAAATTTCTGTCTGTATTCTGGATATGAGTCAGTTCTTTATAAGATAGTATTTTCTGAATATTTTCTGCCAGTCTGGCTTGTCCCCCCCCCCTTTTTTTTAATGTTTTATTTATTTATTTGACACACAGAGAGAGAGAGCACAAACAGGCAGAGTGGCAGGCAAAGGGAGAGGGAGAAGCAGGCTCCCTGCTGAGTAGGGAGCCTACCACGGGACTCAATCCGAGGACCCTGGGATCATGACCTGAGCCAAAGGCAGACGCTTAACCCACTGAGCCACCCAGGCGCCCCTTGTCCTTTCATTTCTTTAAGTGTCATTTAAATAACAGAAATTTATAAGTGTTAAAGTCTACTGTATCGGTTTTTGCTTTTATGTTTCATACTTTTTGTGTCTTATCTAAGACATATTTGCCTAATCCAAGATCACAGAGATTTTCTCCTGTGGGGTTTCTCCTCTAGAAGTTTTGTGGTATTAGGTTTTATGTTTATTATCTATGATCATTTTGGATTAACTTTTATTTAAGGTGTAAATTTCATTGTTTTGCAGATGGATAATTTTTGTGGGTCTGTTTCTGGACTCTCTTCTATTTCATTGTTCTACATGTCTGTCTTTATGCCCATACCACATTATCTTGAATACTGTAGTTTTGTACATCAGGAATTGAGGTAATATGAATCCTCCAACTTTGATCTTTTTTCAGAATTGTCCTGGCTATTTTAGATCTTTTGCCTTTATGTATACACTTTAGAATTAATTTGTCAATTCTACAAAAATCTGAGAAAATTTGGGGAGAATTGACATCTTAATAGTATTGGATATTTCAGTCTATGGACATGGTATATCTCTCCATTTGTGAAAATCTTTGATTTCACTCATCGTTTTGTAGTTTTAAGTATACAGGTCTTGCACATATTTTGTTAGATTTGTACTTGTGGATTCCATGTTTTTTATGCTAGTTTAAATGCTATTCATTTAAAAAATATTCCTATTTCCAGTTGTTGTTGCTAGTATATAGAAACATTTCTATATTGAGCATGTATTCTGTGGCCTTGCTAAACTCATTTATTAGATCTAATAGCTTTTTTTTGGTAGATTCCTTTTGTAGATTGCTATGTAGGCAATCATGCCTGTAAATGTCTTATTTCTTCCTTTCTAATGAATATGTGTTTTTCTCTTTTCTTATCATTTCATTGGTAAGACCTCAGTACAATGTTGAATAGAAGTGAGTAGAGTGGGCATCCTTGTTTTGTTACTGATGTTGTGTAAAAGTATTCAGGCTTTCATTATTAAGTATAATATTAGCTGTAAATTTTGTAGACACTTTATGAAAGGAAAGGAAATTTCCTTTCATAATGGATTACATTTGCTAATATTTTATTAAGGCTTTTTTATCTATGTCCATGGGGGATATTGGTCTGTACTTTTCTTGCATTGTCCTTGTCTGGTTTAGTATGAGAGTAATGCTGGTCTTGTAAAATGGATTGGGATGCCTTTACTCTTCTGTTTTCTGGAGGAATTTGTGTAAAATTGGTATTACTTATTCAGCAAATATTTGACAGAATTCTTCAGTGAACTCATCTGGGTGTTAAGATTTCCCTGTGGGAAAGTTTAAAATATGACTTCTGTTACTTTATTAGATGTGGGGCTATTTAGCTTATCTATGTCTTCTTATGCTTTGATAGTTTGTCTTCCAAAGAATTTATCGGTTTCACCTAAGATTTCAAGTTTATTAGTATAAAGATTTTCACAATATTACTATATCCTTGTAATGTATATAGGCTATATAATGATCCTTTCCTCTTTCATTCTTGCTATCTGTAATTTCTGTCTCCTCTCTTTTGATCACTCTGCTTAGAGACTTATCTGTTTTCTTAGGTTTTCAAATAACTAGTGTTTGGTTTCATTGATTATTGTTATTGTTTTCAGTTTCATTGATTTCTGATTTTATCCTTTAATTTTCTTTCTTTTGCTTGCTTTGGGTTTACTTTGCTCTTCTTTACTAGTTTCTTAAGGTAGGATTTTTGCATTACTGTTTTGAGACTTCTCTTTTCTAGAGTAAGCATCTAGTAAATTTTCCCCTAAGCCTTGCTTTAACTGTGACTCACAAACTTTTTTTTTTTAATATTTTATTTATTTATTTGACAGAGAGAGAC